TTTTTTTTTTTCCTCTCTACCACCATTTTCTCATACCTTTCAACGTATACCACGGTTGTACATAACTCACATGGTGTTTTACAATTTTGAGTTTTTGAATGTGACATTTTCTTTGCCTAGAAGTCTTTCCAATGTCTGTCTTTACCTTGCTAAGAACAATAGTACCTACTGCAAATTGATTTCTCAGAATATACAAGGCACTGACATAAGAAATATACCTCCATAATCTCATTAATTATCCAATCATCTGATGAGGAACAGGTAAGCTACTTCCCTAATATCATGCAACAAATAAGCCAGATGTAGACCAAGTCTATCCTATGCCCAATCCCATGCTCCGACCACTGTGTGAAATTAGTACCCCACCCTCCTAATGTCTTTAAATACTTTAGTATTTAGCACAAGTTTCAAATTCTGTTGAAGCCTATAATAAATGTCATTTTGTACTTTGGAAAAATAATATTTATCTATCTAATTCTCACCTGGATGAAACTATGTATTTCAGAAATCAGTTTTGATGTCTGTTTCTTTTTTCTCAGTCGAAAGCAGAAGAGTTGAAGTTTATCTCCTTCCTCACAGGGAATATCATGACATTTTCGTTTCCCCACTACTTCCATGTGTCCTGTATTATCCTGGATTTCATAGATTGTGTTGTTCTTATTTACTATTTTCTGCAACAGAAAATTAATGTCCAATTGCTAAGAACACAGTTAATCACTACCATACATAAGAGAAAGTCCCTTGTGACAGGATAAAACAAGTTGCAGGCCTTAAGTTCTAGTACTATACAAACATGTATGTGCCATAGTCCAGGTTTTCTCAGCCAGCCCTTCCTTATCCTTTCCAAGTCTTTCATGTACTAGGTATTTCTAGTTCTATAACAATGGATTCTCTTCCTAATTTCTACTGCTTTCACCTCTAGGACAGCTATGATTCCAAAAGCACCCATATACACAGGAATCTGAAATCCTAGGTAAGCTCTTTTGTCCTCTGCCCCTATGCAAAAAGGATGGTCATGTGCTACAACTATTCATTCAGTAGGTTATGAGGGATCTGTAATAAAAAGCAAGCTTCTAGCAACTCCCTAATTACTTTTTCTACCTTTGCCATTTATTGGGTCACTCCAATATCTGCTCCCCATCTTGTGCTCAGGTTCTTGAGCTCAACATTCCATTTCTTGCTCACCAAAAGTATTAATCATCAATTCTAGAATTGTGTTAATAATAATGATCACTATAAGAGTGTGGACAGAAAATAATGCAGGTAAGATAAGGAGTTGCTCTAGGAAACAAATATAATATGTTGTGAGCTCTTGATCATATGAGAAATTACATGAATCAATAGTAAAGTATAGATGATTTCTTGGGTTTGAAGGTCCTATCGTAACAAGTTTCAGGAATTTGGACCCAGGAGTATCAGGAAAACTACTCTGTGCTCTTTTTTTTTGTTTTACTGACATATCTAAATGATGAGTTTAGATTGCTTGACTTTCTAAGTATCACCTAAATTCATGCTTCTCAGTTGTTCAATACCGTTTTGATGAATGAGTGTCATTTGGTTAGAACACCATCCTAACTTGTTGAGTGCCTTTGTTTTCCAGGCATGATCAGTCAATTGATTACTTGTAAAAACCGGAACTCAAACCTCAAAGGACAATACTTCATCCAAAATAAAAACAGAGTAATTATTGCTACAGTTGAGGTAATAATGAGAAATATAACTTAAGTAGTATGTGTATACGGATCTAGTCCCCACAATGTCCTTAATCATTGTGGCTTAGAATACATAGTAATAGCTGATGAAGTCTCAAGATTTCTCAGTGAACATTTTCCTAAAAAGTGCAGGGTAACATTTTGGGAAGAAAAACATGGGAAGGAGAATATTAATAGGTTTGCTAATTCCCAGTCTTATCCTAAGAAAAGACATTATTCACTTATCATTAGTCTTGAGTGAGTCCTGGGTTCTAATGTTCAGTAAATAGCCAAAACTGCATTTAGCACCACAAAAGACTTTTAATTTCGGGTATTGGTGGAGACATGAAACAAAAGAATTGTGAGGACTTACTTTATGTAGCATAAATAATCCATATACAATAGTTCCAGAAGCTTGCTTTTTAATAATATCAATCGGCAGAGTTTCCTTTGCTCTTCTTTTGATGTTGTTGGGAACCTCAATCTTTTGGTCAGGACCAGCTTCAGATACAGAAGAGGCTTCATTCACCTCTAGGAGGTGGTCATTTTCCAAATAATCTGATATAATAATATTTCTCTTTCTGGTGAATTTTTTCTTCAAGTTGATGTTGAAAACCTTCATATGAAAGAACTTTTTCTCAGTAGCCACTGTAGCATGAAACATTGCTTTTGTCTCCTTTTCTGAGGACTCATATGCAAACGGATCTGCTGCATTCAGTACCATCACCACCATCGGGCCTTTTCGGAGATCAGTTTTTCTAGGGGTGACCTGAGAGTTGGCCAGTGGTTTTGGCTGCTGTGTATGATAGCACAGGAGAACAAAGGAAAATTTTTGAGTCGGGAACACAGAACCACTACTGAGTGACCTCAGTCATAACCTGGAGCCCAACAACATTTACAAACATTTAGAGCTGCAGCCAGGATGGAGGGCTGCTGAACAAGGCAGCAGAGCATATCCTGAACTGGTGTCATAGCCAGAAGATGTCACAGGGGAGACTGCATGTGTGAAAAGCAGGAGAACATCTTGTGAAAGAATAATCCTTAAGAAGTAAAGCATAAGAGGAACATAAGAGCAGTGGATTCTGAGAGGACTGCCATGAACTACTTTTAAAGAAATTTTAGGACAAAATAAATTATAATCTTACACTTATTAGCATACAGTGTAACAGCATAACTATAGACATATATAATTAAATAGCACTAAAAATGGAAAATGGTGCCCACTGGAAACCATAGACATGAATAGGTTTCAGTTATCACCAGTGTAGACAGGGAAATTTTCAGAATATAACTCATAGGTCCTCTACCTAGTGTAGCACTCTGAGAGCAGGTGAGAACACATATGGCTCTAATGCAGTAGGATCAGGGTAGAGATGCTCTGGAGAGTGGCATTTCCACCACGATAGCATTTCTCAATGTTGGGCTCTAGGAGGTAGCTCGCTATCAGAAACTTTGGGATCAGGATGATTTGTCTTTAATATCCTTTCTTTATAACATTCTGGTCTCTAACATTGCAGCAGAACACTTTAAATGAAGGGAGGTGGTTTAGTAAATAAGAAAAATTATGGGAGACATGGGTGGATCTCATCTACAATCCAGCAGGCTATGGGGTGCTCTGGCCTGGGACACTATACACAGTGATCACCTGTGGATGACTGGACTTGATTGGATGTGACTTCTCATGAACTTGAGCAGTTCAGCCTAACACAGGAAAGTCCTTTCCCCAATGCAAGTTAATGGGTAACAGCAGACTCATACTTGAGACTATTAATAGTAACAGTAATATGCAGACTTATAAGGAGTCACAT